ACGCCACATCCGTCTTGCGGATGAGCAATTCCACCGCCCGGCAACCATCTCCCTCGTGTTAGGCTCAGACGTTTTTGCGAAGCTGATCCATCCGGGGTTCCTAAAACTTGAGGATGGTTTGCCCGTTGCTCAGAGCACCGTTTTCGGATGGACCGTTTCCGGAGCAGTTCTGGAGTCATGATCCTGCCAATCCTGTTTTCTTTTTCTAGCGTAAGGGGAGGAATTCACGCCAGAAGGTCGGCAGTATAAGTGGCCAACGCTTGCGCTTAAGCTTTTGCTCCCGCTGGCTGTCTCCTCCGTTCTGCCCGTTTCCCTCTCTCTCGCTACTCTCCAGCCCGCGAATTCACCACTCCGCGGTCCCTGCAGCCCTTTATACATAGACATAAGTTAGTATTAATCAAGAAGTGAAGCAACTTAATTGTGATTATAATGAAGCTACCTCCTCGCCTTCTAATTGGAATATTATTTGGGAGTCAGCAGCCACCTTCAGCATCCATTCCAGCGGCCACCGACATCACCCGAGAAGGACGCATACCTTTTGGCTGACTCCGCCCCCTCCATTTCAATATAATGCATTATCATTAGATGAAATTTTTAGGTTTGCACGTGGAAAGTTTTGCTGTCTTCAAATACTCTTTGCAGGATTTATTGGTTATATTATGTTCATAGTAAACTATAACACTCGTTTTGAAGTCAGCCCACTTCGATAACAATAAATCCTTTTTGTCGGGGTATAAAAGGTCGAATTCTCTGAAATAACGATTTTCTCGGTAGACTTGCACGTAAGAAGCCGTTTATAAATAAAAAAAATCGAGAGTGTCGCTTGAAATTTGCAAAAGAGCACATCAGCAAGTACTCGGATGAGTCAAAATTAAATATTTTTGGGTCCGATGGTCGTTCTTACGTATGGCACTAAGCAAATATAAAGCTGCAAGACAAACATTTGAAACCAACCGTTAAGCATGGTGGCGGCCATGTTATGGTATGGGCCTGTATGTCCGCAGCAGGAGTCGGGACCCTTCAATTTATTGAAAGCACAATGGATAAACATGTTTATCTCAATATCCATAAGGATAATTTACTCCAAAGTGCTGAGAAATTGGGTATAAAAGAAAATGGTCGGTTCTACCAAGACAACGACCCGAAGCATATGTAAGTCTGGAATTGTACAGTATTGGCTTATATATAAACGTCATCATGTCATGAAACCGCCAGCACAGTCTTTTGATCTAAATGTTATTGAGAATTTGTGGTCGATACTGAGCTCCAAAATTCGTGAACGTCATATTTTAAACAAAAATGATTTAAAAACTGCTTTAATTGAGGAATGGGCTAAAATCCCACCAGAAACCACAAAGAAATTGGTGGAATCAATTCCTAATTACCTTAGATTCGATTCGTTCTTGACCAAAAGGGCGGACATACTAAATATTACAATTTAAAAAAAGTATATAATTTTGTATTACTTAATCAAAGACCCTTGGTTAAATAAGCTGTAATATTGAAATAAGCAGTATTTTAAGTTTTTATTATATATTTAAGAAGTTGTTGGCCAAAATGAATAAATAAAATTATATTATTTACGTTAAAATATCAGCTTACGATTCTGCGTTTAATTTTTGTGGGTTGCCCTTATGGTTTAGAATTTATTAGGTGTGGGTCAAATAAGCTGTGAGCCACTGTATATGATATAGTTGTCCTATTTTCATTCAATTTATACCAAAACTCTAAAATAATAAAAAAAAAAGCTTATACCACTGAGTAGGTGAAAATACGTTGAAAAACAACGAAGTTATAATTTTTTCTATTAATTTCCCGATTGTTCCTATGACAGCTATAAGATATTGTCGTCCGATTTTCATAAAATTAAACCCGAAAACCTGAAATAATAAAAGATCGCCGTCTTGAAAATGGTGCAGAAATGTTAAAAAACAGCCAAGTTATAATTTTTTTCTAAAAATTTATCGATCGTTTGGCAGCTATATAATATAGTCGTCCGATCCGGCCCGTTCCGATATATGTATATGTATATAGCAGTGAGAGTATACAGAAGACTATATGCAAAGTTTCATTCAGATGGCTTTAAAACTGAGGGACTAGTTTACGTAGAAACATGGCTAGATCGACTCGGCTGTTGATGCTGATCAAGAATATATATACTTTATAGGGTCGGAAACGCCTCCTTCACTGCGTTGCAAACTTCTGACTGAAATTATAATACCCTGCAAGGGTATAAAAATAAGGGTACACTGAGTTTGTTGCTTTCCCAAACTGCAAGAAGAGCCACGTAACCAAGCACATACAGTGGATCCCATTAATATTCGGTTTTTTGTTTTTTCAATTTCAAACCCGAATAAAATTTATGACCTAGGAAAAACTAAATTTAAAAAATGGAAAATTCAAGCTTGTTTTATTACCTATTCGTAAAGGTCAAAATAAAAATAAGAACATACAAAAACAACTTTAAAATCTGAGCAACATTAATATTCGATTTTAACTTATAAAACTAAAAAAACATAGTTTTTCTTGAAAATTAAGGTATGATATTATTATTAAGGCAGTGGCGGATCCACGGGGGAAATTTCCCCAAGTTTCATTTAATCCGTTTATCTCGCCAAAAACGCCTCAACTTGACTGTCCAATAGAATAATTTTCTGTCAATAAGTTCAATGCTTATTTGTATAGCTCAGAGAAGCCAGGTTCGGAAAATTTTTTTTTTCGAAATTTGAAAGCTGGAATCGTTTGGCCATCGTTTGCCCATGTTAGCCCACCAATTAGTTTTTTTTGCCCACGTCCAGTTTTGAAGATATGAAAATTCGAAAAAGTTCGAAAATTTTCGAACTTCAAAAATTTGACTTTTTTCAAAATTTTTTTTTGGAAATCGCAATAACTTCGTTTGCCCACGTTTACCCACCCTTTAGAATTTTGAAATTTTTTAAACTTTAGGAGATATGACACTCTAAAAATTTGCTCTGTTTTACCAAAGAAATAATGTATTGCCCACCTCCGAAAACTGAATATTTTTAGAAAAAAACGTTTGCCCACCCCTTAAATATTAATTTAAAGGATTGCCCATCCTTTAAAACTTAATTTTTTCGATTGCCCATATTTTAAAAATTAATTTTTTCGATTGCCCATCCTTTAAAAATTAATTTTGAGGATTGCCCATCCTTTAAAAACTAATTTTTTCGATTGCCCATCTTTTAAAACTTAATTTTAATGATTGCCCATCTTTTAAAAATTAATTTTGAGGATTGCCCATCCTTTAAAACTTAATTTTTTTGATTGCCCATCCTTTAAAAATCAATTTAAGCGATTGCCCACCCCTTAAAACTTAATTTAAACGATTGCCCATCCTAAAAACTTAATTTTTTCGATTGCCCATCTTTCAAAACTTAATTTTAATGATTGCCCATCCTTTAAAAATTAATTTTTAAAAGATGGGCAATCGAAAAAATTAGTTTTTAAAAGATGGGCAATCGAAAAAATTAATTTTTAAAGGATGGGCAATCATTAAAATTAAGTTTTGAAAGATGGGCAATCGAAAAAATTAGTTTTTAAAGGATGGGCAATCCTCAAAATTAATTTTTAAAGGATGGGCAATCGAAAAAATTAATTTTTAAAATATGGGCAATCGAAAAAATTAAGTTTTAAAGGATGGGCAATCCTTTAAATTAATATTTAAGGGGTGGGAAAACGTTTTTTTTTTTAAATATTCAGTTTTCGGAGGTGGGCAATACATTATTTCTTTGGTAAAACAGAGCAAATTTTTAAAGTGTCATATCTCCTAAAGTTTAAAAAATTTCAAAATTCTAAAGGGTGGGCAAACGATGTTATTGCGATTTCCAAAAAAAAATTTTGAAAAAAGTCACATTTTTGAAGTTCGAAAATTTTCGAACTTTTTCGAATTTTCATATCTTCAAAACTGGATGTGGGCAAAAAAAAAACTAATTGGTGGGCAAACATGGGCAAACGATTCCAGCTTTCAAATTTCGAAAAAAAAATTTTTCCGAACCTGGCTTCTCTGAGCTTATTTGTATGACAATCATTATTTTCTCGTTCTTACTCTTTCGCAAGTCTGTTCTATTTATAAGTTATACTCCACAAAACTCAAACACAATTGTTAGTTCAAATCCATAAAGATACACATACTTATAACACATATTCACAGGTGGACAACAAGACACATCTAAGCTAATTTGCTTTAATAAATACCTTCGCAAGTAATTTCCATTTTTAGATTTATGAAACTTATTTTTTTACACAAAGCAACAAGCACGTAAAGTTTGACAATTTTTCGCGCCAATTTCACGACATTGCAAAGTCTCTCAAACAGCTGACTTTGTTGGAGTGGCAACACTACAGAGTTGTCATAAAAAATTTTTGGAAGGCTTTTTTTTCAAATTAAGATGTCTAGATTCGATAAGTATGGGCCATTCATAAAAATTAATTAGGAAAATAAATAGGTTTATGCCAAAATCGGTTTTTTTATACACAGTGAAAAGGCTAAAACCCCTCTAGCTTTACCGATGCGATCAGAAACGGAAGATTTTATCGATTTAAAAAACGGTTACCTTTGTCTGGCCGGCATGAAACGTAAATAGTTTTTTTATATGAAATCAGATCTTATTTACAAAAGGAAAGCAATAGTTTACTCAGTGACCTATTGATGTTTATTCCACACCACCACAAGATCATTCTGGCAGGTAGTTATTTTATAGAAAATGTATTTCTGACCCAAAAATTTTTGACGTGTTCAACAAGTTTTCGCGTTTTTAATAACTTCAAGGGAGCGCCAAGAATATTGTTTATAAATAATGATATTTAATTTGATTACTTAAATGGTCAAAAATGAACCAAATAATGAAATGAGACCACAGGAATTAAAACTTTGAAAAAAGTGTCAGCATCTTAGATGCCTAGATTTGCTTAACTCCAGCACTTTTTGCCTTTTTCTGGCTTAGTGAAAGGGCAATTGTAAATATAAAAGGCAGTTACGATTACCGGGATTTACCGGTATTTAACCGGGATGAGAACATCACAATTACATTGGCATCGAAGGAGACACTATTGACGTGCAGTCTACAGCCAAGTAAACTACGAACATTCTGATAGTGAAGAACAAAAGAATCTATTAGTTTTTGGGAGGCCTAGTTAACAAAACGTAAACAAAACGTTGGCCTGCGAGCTTTTGTTTACGAATTCGTGGACAATTCGTTTTCAGGCCATACGGATCTATGTTTTGTTAGGTTTCGAAGGTTGTGTAAAATGTCAAGTCCTCGTAAAAAGGGGTAGATGTTCGAAATACATGTGCCGGGTTAAGAACCACCGACTGGATGAGCTAGCCGAGACATGACCCAAGCCGTTGGCTGCACGCGCAGGACCTTCTGTGGTCATAACAATCACCTACCAAATTGCTTAGAATGGCAATGTCGTTTATTGGGCAGTAAATTTATCTAATATTAAGTTCCATAAATTGTGAATCTTTTGAAAACAAGTATTTTTTAACATAATTTCGTTGTCTGGTTCGGCAACTGGTAATCTGCAGGTTCACAGCTAGTTCCATGTTAAAAAGTTCGCGCCTCTGTTATCAGACCACCCACACCATCCAATGTTATACGAGGTTCTAAAAACTAATAGGGTCTTCCCACAGAGCGTCAAACCGCACCCACAGTCCGTTGAACAAACTGCCCATAATGTTTTGCCGTTCCGAAACTTCTCATTTTGTACGTCATCCGTTGTACATCTAAATTTAACGCCCGTTAGTTGGTGGTTTTTCGATGCAACTCTGATTTCTTCTTCTTAACAGTGAAATATGGAATTTTAAATGTGGCGACAAAGCTGTAAGCATCCCCAAATAACTCGTTGGTGTTTTAGTACGACCTGTTTTTCTCCGATGGGGTAAGGCCGGCTAGCCAGTCCCCTAGGGGAGGGATTTTCCCCATCTGCCCGCAGGTCGCACTATCAATCCCAGCTCACCTGGAATCCACAAAAATTAATAAAAAACAGGCATGCCCCTTGCAGGCTTGGGGCATGGCTGAAATTACCCTAGACGCACCCTCCCTTCCTGAGATCCGGAACATCTACAGATTTCCCTTCTGCAGGCCAGTGTTGCCGTTTTAGCCTTTTTCCGGACAGATCTGTCCGGTTTTCTGCTGCCTCAGCCGGAAAAAATTTAAAACATCCCCTAGCCTTTTATCTGTCCTTTTTGTATTTTGGCCTGGCCTTTTTTATCCGCTTTTGATTTTTGCGTAAAGTGCTGAAAAGTAAGTAATAAGGACTCGGCTGTCAATAACCCATTTATGGAATTGGCAACATTTGCTCTAGAACTGCTGTCGCTGCCCTGGTCAAATTCTGAAGTTGAGCGTGGTTTTAGCCAGGCTACATTGGTAAAAACCATTGTTGCCGTTGACAGTGTTGCCTTTTTCCGGACAGATTTGTCCGGTTTTCAGCCGCCTCAGCGGGAATACATTTAACATCCCCTAGCCTTTTATCTGTCCTTTTTAATTTTGTGCTGGACTTTTTTATCCACTTTTTATTTTTGTGTAAAGTGCGGAAGCAACCAATCTAATGAAAATGAAAGTTTAGAATCTTGTAATGATGACATTGACGATGTTCTAAACGAGTTGGCAAACAATAAAGAGTAATATTACATAAAATGTATGGAAAAAATATTTTGTCTTGTTTTTTGTCCTTTTTCTGACATTTTTGTCTTTTTCTATCCTTTTTTTTTATAATCAATCTAGCCTTTTATTGTAACGAGCTGACGGCAACACTGCTGCAGGCGGATATACCGAGCTCAAAGAAGCCAGGTTCGAACTTTTTTTTTCGAAATTTGAAATCTGGAATCGTTTGCCCACCAATTTGTTTTTTTTTTTTTTGCCCACGTCCAGTTTTGAAGATATAAAAATTCGAAAAAGTTCAAACATTTTCAAAAATAAAAAAATTGACCATTTTTAATTTTGTGTTTTCAATATCCCAATAACTTTGTTGTCCACTCTTTAGAATTTTGAAATTTTTTAAACTTTAGGAAATATAAAAAAAACAAAAATTTGCTTCGCTTTACCACAGAAATTATGTATTGTCCACCTCAGAAAACGTAATATTAAAAAAAAGTGTGCCCTCCCCTTGAAAATTAATTTTAACCATTGTCCATTTTTTTTTTTAAATTAATTTAAACGTTTGCCACCTCTTAAAAATTAACTTAAAGGATTGTCCAACTCTTAAAAAAAAATGTACACATTTGCCCTTCCCGACCCTTAATAATAAATAAAACACAGTGAACAAATTCTTTGTATTATAATCAAGCAACAATCCTCGGGAGAAGATGATACTGGAGAGTAGAGCTGGGAAACTATCGATAGTGGCACCATTCGATGTTTTCGATGTTTTCAGATCAAAAATTTGATAGTATCGTTTGTAGTACAAGAAATTTATTTTATTTTTCATATTAAATGCTTTAATACTAACATATATAACTTTAACAACTTAAAATAAGAGATCAAAATTATAAAAAACTAGCGGACCCGGCGAACTTTATCTCGCCCCAACTTCGACTGATTAAAACAAATTAAATTGAGACGTTCCGTTTCTACTTTGACGTACATTATTACCTTACCTTATTCCTATCTTCTCCTAAAATTTGAATTCAAAATTTGTTGATAATCAAAAAGAAGTGATGACTTTTAAACAAACCTTTCGGTGGATTGACAAATTTTTTGACTTGAAATTAGTGGAGAGCGATTTGATAAACAATATTTTTTGTTTTGTTATCCTGTGCAAAAATAAATAATGATGACGGCTTTCCCACACGCGAACAGGCTACGTATAGCTGGCCATGTGAAAAACATGGATATTCCAAGTTGAAATTTCGTCACCTCGTCGTTTGCATTCGGATCAGCAATGCCAAACACCGCCATGTCGCTCCCTTTGTTCACATATTTGCAAACGCATTTGATGGATTTGATAGAGTTGCAGTACTCAACATTGCAATGCGTTGAGAACGTTTTCGACAAAAGCGGGCAATATGGAACGATCCAGCGGTTATCCACGATTACTGTTACGTTTGTTTCGTTACGTTTCACCATTAATTCGATCCATTTGCCGTTATCATCTGGAGAACGACGCCTATACAATGGATATCCATCGTTTCCACTGATTGTTTCAGCCGTCAACGGACGGGGAAATCGTTTTGTGCAGTTTCCGTTTTTCATGCATACTGACTCTGGGTTGTGGACTCCGCAAGGACCATGGATCATGCTCGTTGTCACAATGGAATGCAGCTCGGGATCAGTTTGCTTATCCGGTATTTCGGCTGAAATAATCGAATCAATATGATCTAGTCGGATCTTGTCGAACATCCAGAGCAGAATGTGCGCATGTGGTAAGCCACGCTTTTGCCACTCAACCGAGTACATCCAACAACGAACTGCGCCAAAAACCTTCTGCTTAACAATGTAATCCATAAGTACTGTGATCTTTTGCTTGAATACTCGTGCAGTGATGTCAGGTCGATCGCTGGATGTTTGTCCTGGAAGCAACAAATTGGTAATTTCGGGCCATTTCGGATTGCATGTGAAGGTGATGAATAAATCCGGGCGTCCGTAATTCCGGACATACGTCATCGCATCTTGAGCATACTCATGCATATGGCGCGGGCTTCCAACATAAGTAGCTGGGAGAATGGTCAAAAAACCGATGTTGGCCGCGTGTCCTTCAGTAGCGATGGCGTCACGCAAGTGGATGTACTCGTCTGAGCGCAACTTCGACTGATTAAAACGAATGAAATTGAGACGTTCCGATTCTACTTTGACGTACATGTCGACACAGTACTGTTGAAACAAACGGCGGTATCTTAACAGATGATTGTCAACATCAAGTCGAATCATTAATCGATACGCATAAAAATTCATACAGCTAACCTTCTTATTCGTTTCTTCTCCTAAAATTTGAATTCAAACTCAGTTGTAGAATTAAAAAGACGTGATGACTTTTAAACAAACCTGTCGTTGGATTGACCATCTTTATGTTGAAGTGATACCCATCTTCTCCACGACAGAACATCAACGGGTATTGAAGAGCATCATAAGACCGATGAGTCTCATAAGCTCGCTGCAATTGGCCATTATCCCGACGCTTAAGAACAATATCGCGTGATTCAACATTCTCGCCAACAATCACCACTGCGTGTTCATTGATAGTGGGAGCGTTAAATTGTCTTGCATGGCTACCAGTGGGTCTTTTGTCAGCGCTGATAATGATTTTATGTTCGTCATAATGCATTATATCCAATGCGGTTTTAAACAATCTGACCAATTCATTATGCTCATGGAGAAGGTTTTGCAATTTTTGAATAATTTCACGTTTAGTTGCAGTAAAAATTGCACAGCGGTGATTTAGTTCAACTTCCGAATCACCAATGAAATAGATCTGAAGGAATTTATGATCTTTGTTTTGTGGTGGTAACAAAGCGCCCGCTCGGTGGTGAATTTGCCCTTGAATCTGAATGTTGGGATGCAATTTTGAAAAAATGTGATAATAAAGAGACGCCATTACCTTATAACTTGGATTGTAGCCTGATTGTTGAACAACCTCGGCTCCAAAAGACGTCATTTGAAAGCATCCGTTATATTTTTGTGCAAGCTTCAGGAAACTGTTTGATTGGGCTGAGTTTCCATATAGTAGCGAGTACAATGGCTCTGGTGGATGAGCCAAAACGGGCAATTTAATTTTGCCACCTGCACAGCATAAGCCGGGGGTTTCCAACCGAAACTTCAATGCATTACAATGCTGACATACAACAGATAATGAACCAATAACAACGCACGTAAGATCCTTGTAGGATGTTTCATGATTGTATGGGAATGCAGCGCGATTCAAGTATTCATTTGCGGCTCGTCTTCCTCTATTATTTGGTCGTGCTTGAGGTGGTCTTTGTGCAGCGCGAAGCTGTGCCATTTGGGCACGTATCGATGCATTTATTTCTGTACGTTCCTCTTGCGTCCGACTATTACGGAAATTCTGATTACTTATTGCATTGCGTGAACGCCGCCCAAGACTTGATCGTCTAACAGCAGGCATTACTTCCAATTGTTTAAGCTCACTTTGATAATGCTTCGTTAGCTCGATTTTTTTGTTTAAATATTTTTTACCTAGTTCATTGATACACAATTTCAACGCAGCTATGATCTTTGTAGGGTGTTTCAGAATTTTACATACAACAGCGTGTCCATCTGTTGAGCCGCTAGCGACTTTTCCGGAAGGACTTCCCAAAATGTTCTTATTTAATAGCTTTCTTCTGGCAATTACAAACAACTGAAAAAAATTTGAGCCAAAACGGCCCAGCCGTTCTTTTGTGATGCCATTAGTAACATTTTTTGTCTCCATTTTTATATATATAGATTAGGAACTTTTTCAGAGTTCAACTCATTTTCCCAAAAATTAAATTTGAGTCAATTCAAAGTAATTAGTTGACCCAGGCATTCCTCTGCAAAAATATTAATACATCCAAGTTTTTTGCTTCCAGCGAAGCCCTGCGTTTGCTCATTATGAGTCTTGCTGAACATTCGCTCAGATTCAGTAGAAGTTGCTGGAACACATAAAAATTTAGGAACCAATTGTTTTATGTTGGAATCATTATGCTGAAATAAAGGAAATTTTATTAATTATGTTTTCTTATGGTTATTGGTATAGTAACCTTTCAGTATTGTAGTGGATTTACATTTTCATCCGAATGTTTTAAGTTATAATATTGTCGAAGCTCAACAATTGCGTCTACCCTTTTTGTTTTAGGCAATTCTTCAATATTTTTTTAACGAACTTGAATAACAATTTGCATGCTCACTAGACTTAAGTCCTGACTTTACGGAATCCAACGTATGAATAAGACCACAAGCAATAGGAATGCACATTGATATTGTAACTACTGTATTAGAAGATACTTGTTTAGTAGCTGTATCGAAAGGAGCAAGTAATTTTGTTAGATCCAAAAGTATGTCTAATTCGTCCACAGTAAAAGGTAGTGGAGCCTTTGGCGTATTTAAAAAAACTTTTCCGATAGCCTCATGCGTTTTCAAAATCCTGTCAATCATATAGTTAGCGCTATTCCATCTAGTAGGAACCTCTTGTTTTAGACTATATTTTATTTTTCCATTTTGGCAGTCTTTCAGCTTTTTATATGCTATAGTACTCGATTTGAAGTAAGTCACCGTGCTCTTACACTTAGTTAGTAAAGGGACCAAACAATCTAGTTTGAGACAGTCTTGTACAACTAAATTAATAATATGCGCAAAGCAGGGTACATTTCTCTTTTGGAGTAAATCACACGCTTTTATCATAGAGGTAGCATTATATGTTACTATTGCCACAATTTTGGAAGAAATGTCCCACTGATCGAAAACTGCTTGTAAAGTATCCTTAATGTTTTCTGCAGTGTGGTTTGTTTCACATCGTAGTTTATTTGTTGAAAACACAGCAGTTTGCAGAACGTAATCATCTGTGACGAAGGAGCATGTGACGGTAATAAATGCTTCATTAGCTACCGAAGTCCAAATATCTGTGGTAATAGCGCAGAAGTCAATTTTCTTTAAAATTTCCATCACTTTAACTTTTTTTTCCTCATACTGCTCTACCATTATCACATTTTTCAAAGTTTTTCGGCATGGTAACTTATATCGAGGATCAAAAGCTTTTAGCATGTCGCGAAATCCAGTATCTTCAACAACTGAAAACGGTCGCATGTCTGTGGTTATGTATCGCATGACCACCTTGTCCAGTTCGCCTTTACGTCGAGAATGCGTATCATAGCATGTATTGACGAAGGCATCAATCTTTGACGAAGAAGACACTTCCACATCGCCAACTTTTAATGCTGGGTGTACTCGTTTAAGGTGGTCAAAAAGATTGGAAGTGTTTCCGCTAGTACGGTACACTTTTTCGCACGATATGCATTTCGCCGACTTACCATCATTGGATCTTACAAAAAAATTCCACACTTTCGATTTACCAACTGTAGCTCTCTTTACTCCGCCGTTCTCCTCATCAGAGCTGTTCCTTTCTGATGTGTTTTCATCTACGCACACATACATATAAAAGTAACCATTACTAATATGTTTGCCATTGTTGCTAAAAATATTATCAGGCCTGCTCCGGTAATCGAAAACGGCAAGATTTTTTCGTTTTCGTTTTTGAAAACGAGAAATTGGTGCTCCGGTAATCGAAAACGAAAGATTTTTTCGATTTGAAAAACGGGCACCTCTTTCTGGCCGGAATGAAAAGTAAATGGCTTTTTTTATATGAAATCAGATCTTATTTACAAAAGGAAAAAAATAGTTTACTCAGTGGTCTATTGATGTTTATTCCACACTACCATAAGATCATTCTGGCAGGTAGTTATTTTATAAAAAATTTATTTCTGACCCCACCTCAGATTTGACAACAACATTTTTACCGTGTTCAACCAGTTTTCTCGTTTTGGCGATAGGTCGATAAGTTCACCGCAAAAAGTTATCGCCAAGGTTGCCATATTGTTGGTGGAACGAAACATCCAGTTAAAAAGACTTATAAAATATAAATTAATACATTAATAACTTTAAAGGACCGCCAAAATGGTTGTTTATAAATAATGCTATTTAATGTGATTACTTAAATGGTCCAAATTAACCAAATAATTATTTGAGACCACCGGAATTAAAACTGTGAAATGTGTGGCAGCATCTTAGGTGCCTGGATTTGCTTAATTCTACCATTTTTTGCCTTTTTCTGGCTTAAAAAAAGGGCAATTGTAAATATAATAGGCAGTACTTTACGTTGTTTGCTTATTACCAACAACACAAGTTAGCTGCTTGAGCAGTGAGAAACGATGAGACAACGAAACATCCGAAAGCAGAAATTTGCCGAAAACCGGAGCAGCTAAAAACGAAAACGGTTCGTTTTCGCCCAAAACGAAATCGAAAAAATTTTACGATTACCGGAGCAGGCCTGTATAATTACCTTTTCTTTTAAGGTTCCGTAGGTATTTCTCCATGCTTAGGCCACCACCACTGTTCAGTCGCTGCAATATATATATAAGTCATAATCATAACATTACATAATCTGTAATTCGTCAGTCGCAGCACTCTCATATGCAGCCAAAATAAAGTATCAATTACCAGGTCAAGCGCATATGTAGATTCTGCTGACGCGATGAAGTGGGATGGAGCAATAGCCTCATTCTGCATATACCATTACAACCTACATTATTCTTGCACAACAATATTTGTAACCAGAAGCATATTTGTTTCCGCATGCACTAGCAACCTACATTATTCTTTATCATTAATATTTGTAAATGCAAGCACATGTGTTAGCTATAAATATCGTTAAGTTTGAATCAATAAAGTCAGTAATAATCTGCAATTCAAAGAGATCTTTACTCCAACTGCAGTCCACCTAGTTCAAGTGCTGGGTGCGACACAAACAAGGCAATTAGTTTATGTGCTATTTTGCCAGGCATCGAAGCCTACTCACACTAGCAAACACTCATACAAACAACCACCGTTCAATTTAAGTTTATCTAGAATCCATTTTATTTAGAAATTTTGTAATATTTAATCATTTGCAATTTCTTACCCAAATTTTCGTCAACCAAGCCTCGTGTTCGCAATATCAG